GTCAATTGTAAAGAAGAATGAAAAGACTGAATTGGTCTCCTCACATCGTAGACAAAACCAACGACTTTGGTGTATTGTTCGGATGGCGCCAGATTGTCTAGCTGGGCCTCGCGCATGCCTTAGTGAGTCTTGTGCTTGCCAATGGTTGCCACAGAAACGGATGTTAAAGTCAGTCATTCTTGGCGATTGATGTGCCGCCGATGGCCTAGATAATTTGTGAACAGTCCACTTACTCCATTCTTGTTTCTGTTTCTCCATCTTGAAGGCGGTCTAGCTTTTAGGGGGATACTTACGTGCATTAGAAAGTTTCCTCAAGTTATTCATACACATGTACTGTACCTTGCTGAAGAATGGCTTAAATCTGAGAATCTCGAGATCTGTGTAACCCTTCAGATGATTTTTTTTTAGAATTTTTCTGCAGTAATTTCTACACTACCGTATCTTTCTCATCAAAGATGTCTTTTAGAAATGTAATGGACACATGAGCGTCATGACATTTCCTGGCTCATTTTTCCTTTTCCTTCCTTTCCTCAATCTCCCTTGCCCCAAAAGACCATTTCCACATTTTATACTCTCGCAAGAAAAAAAACAAACAAACAAGAAAACAGTAATCATAGATCTTTTATCTCAAACTAAAAGCAAAATCTATAGATGTAGTGTCTATCTGGGAAAAGTTTTGTATATGTTTTTGAACACACCTGCCGTTGTGCTCATACAACCTGCTGTGGTAATATTCCAAGGCTAAAATACCGGCATCCTTGTCGGTCAAAATACCAAATAGGCACTGCCTCTCTGCTTTGTATACAGCAATTTCCTGAACGATTCCCGCTTTGCATTGGCATGCCTCATATACAAAACAGGGCAATCAAATAAGCAGACACGGCATTTTTTTCTACAGTTTAAGATAATGGCGCCGTTTGTAATTACACGTAATTACCCTAACCATTGATGGGCACGTCTCGGCCCGGAGTCTGCTGGTGTTGTTCCGTCTCTCACAGCAGTAACTTCTTCTTGGGTTCATATATTTTTTCCGCCTCATGGTCCCCTGGACTACACCGTAAATATAAATCAACCAGACATGCTGCCGGGTTGAGCAATTATTAATCCATTATGAACCCAAACGTGGCGAATTATGGTGATTTACAGGACCGCCGGATTGCTTTTGGACTAATGCGGTCCATTTTTGCATGACGGATACATGCAGTAAGCCACGCCAATGCACATTGTACAAGCAGAAAAGCGCGCATGTGTACTTCAGTTGCCTCCCAGATGTGTATGCTGCAATCATGTGTGCATTAATCATGGCACAGCTTGTCATTGAAGATACATGTACATGTATGGTCAAGTTCGATCAGGGACCAAAGTTAACCACAGTTCGACTAACTCTGATTGAACGCACGTTGGTCGACGATGATTGGACTAGTCTAGTCAACCACATGTATGTATTTGCGACCAGCCTATCAAGGTTGGTCGCGTTGTTGGTTGCCGTAAAATTTCTAATAGCACAGTGCAAAGAGAATCAGTCATAAGAAAATTACTGGCAAAACAGAGCGTTACTAGTAACGCCCACTCTCACTTTAATTTGTGCTAGTTTGCCCTTCCTGCGGCCACCTTTTCTCCCCTTCGGCCTAATGACCTGAAAACAGTTGACTTGGGTTGTTCACACTTCACTGCACATGCGCTAGGTACATGTACATGTACGTCACTAACCAACCACAAGTTAACTAGCGTCTCTTGATTGAACTTGCCGTGCCTGTGCATTGTAAATGTAACTTTGATTTTCAAATGGGTGTAGGTGTTGCAGTGGGAGTGAATTGATGAATAATCACTTTTCCCGCTTAATTATTGGTATTCATTTTTTCCCAGGCACCATTATACTCATGGCAAAGTTGCCCCGCAGCTTAGCCTAATTCCAGTTTTTTTCCTGTCGAATTTTGGACTGCATGCGTGGCATGGTTTTATGGTTTGGCATACAGACAGCGAAAAATCTTTGCTAATCATACTGGCATGAGTACACGTTGCAGAGAGAATTTGGCCTTGAAAAGGCTTGCATTTTTTTCTATTTACTGGATTACAAAAATATCCGGTACGTGTTTTGCAGGGTCGGAGGAGGACAGGAAAAAACATGAATGAAGAAAAAGGCCTCTAAAGTTCCATTTTTTCTCCTACAATAAACTTATGAAAAGTATTTTGTGTAATTTTTTTTTTCAAAACAATGAAAAACCATAATCTGGATAAAACATTTGTAATTTTTTTGCTTTATTTGTTTTTTCTATATCATAATAAAAAAAAGTTGGCCTCAGCAGAGACTTGGGTTATGCGCATATTGCAATTAAGGATTCTGTGCTTGTGCGGAGGTTTTGTGCTATATAGAGCCGTTAGCGTAGACTGTCTGACTGTTGATTTCATAATTAGGCACAGAATGTGTGGTTACCGCGACGTTGGGCCCATACATGTATATTGGCTACCTGTACCGATATATGCGCGCGCACCTTAAACTTCACACACAATTGTCATTCCATACACTATGCAGCCCTCTTACAACCCTGTAGGCCTATACCATGTTTGTCCGTTTGTCTTTGTTTGTCCCCTTGTGCAAAGCAACCAAGGGCTGACAAGGCCTAGGAGTGCTACGTTAGGGGTTTAGAATCGTGTACATAAAATTTGGAAAGTACATGTACCTTTACATGGACATGATCTCCCTGATTTTATTGCTCCGACAAGAATAGAATTTGAGAAATTGATTTGTACCATGATTTGACACATGACATGTATTGTTCAAACCCCAGAAACTTAGGAGGAGAGGGATCAAGCAATTGGAAGAAGCTTTTATAGACTTAAAAAGAAATTAGAGACCAAGATTTAAATGTAATTGTAAAAGTGAAAATGATGCATTCATCACATTTTCTGAGGGGTCAAATCTCTTGTTCAGATACTGTACATAGACTGTACGCTGGTACATGTACCAGTCCATGTACGTACATGGTTTACTGTGCATAGATGTTAAGCTGATCTCCATGGCGCCCTGCATTCTGGAAAATTAGTCATTAGCCATGTAGCCCGTAGAATTTGATAATTAGTCATGTTGAGTGAATAAACATCCACTGCTTGTCAAAAGTGCATTAGTATTTAATGAGTGCATTTATGCAGGGTGATATCACTGGTCATCCTTGGCATTTCAAGACTTTCTGACATGTCTGATGCTTGAGGTATCAAGTGTTTTTGTTTTTTCATCCAGCCAACATTTCAGCTTTAACCAGATTCCTCCGTGGCAAACTGTGTGTGAGTGGAGAGGTTTTATTTACAAGAAGACTGGAGAAGTAGGTCAAAGAATACTTGAGAGCAGTGCAGTAATTCAGCGGACACCCCTGGATCTTGATGAAATGGCATCTTGAGTCATTTGCTGGGCATTCTCTGCCACTGATGACTCCCAGCCAAAATGTGCACCTATTTGTTAATTTATCTGCTTTGATTTCCCTGTCACATTGCAGACACCGGTGCAGTCTATAACAACAGTAGATGGAAGAAGCACACATGTACATGTACAGTGAACATTCACGTGCAGGGTTTAGATAATTTTCTCTAAGCCATGAGTATAATACCCTCTTCCTTGCTTAGAGCAGAGTTCATTGTACATGTACAGTAATTTTTTTCGCGCAGTCTTGTTTAGTATAGTACTCCTCTTCACGGTGCACTTGATCACTCGCAGGTCAAATGCAATGCACTCACGATCTAAATTTTAATCTTTCTAAGGTGTTTCAGACCCAAATTTTCTAAAAATGATACTTAGTTTCTTGTAAATGTACCAGAAAGCCTCTAAATGCCACTTGAAAAAACCCTGTTTTTAACGGATCAAAACTTCCAGAAAACTTCATGTTTTTTCGCTGAACTTTTGATGAGGTGCTCTAGGACTATCTTCAGCCATGATTTAGCAAGATTTAACAGACAAACAATACTTTTTGCCCTGTTGACAGTTTATTCCTTTAAATTTTTTAATGAATAATTTACTTTTTGAATTGAAAGATATACCGGTATCATTCTCTCGCTTTTCATTTGAATCTGCTTGAAACAAGCCTCCATTGTGTGATTTTTTTCTCATTTCAAATATTCATATTCAGAAAACAATATTCAAATATTTGATAATCGATCGAATATTCAGATATTTGACACAGCCCTACATGTATTAGTGCGATACATGTACATTTACACGTACACCACAACAGTAGGGGGAATACTGGACATTTTTTGTTTGGATCTCGATCACACGTGCATCCCAGCCTAAATTGTGATTAGGGGTGAATTTGCACAATACACATAATACCATTGCTCGAATTCGATATTTCCCACAATGCCCTGTTATAACGATTGTTTAAAACATGCATGAAGTTTTGATATGGCAGTTGGAGCTAAATGTCCTTTAGTGCTATGCGCATTGATGCTCTCTGCCCACGGCCCCCTGTATAAATTACATATGGTGTACACATTACAGTGCACAGCTGGTATGTAGTAATTAGGAAAACAACATTAAATTTACATGTACAAGACCTTCAAACGGTATACCCATTAATTCTTTTGAACTCATGCAGCTCAAACTACATGTGGTTTGTGTTCAGCGGACCCATGTGTTTTTGTACGTGATGTGTGTGGCCTGTGAGCATGCATTAAGTGGCCTTGGCCTTCAAGATGCTCATTTATTCATCTTCCAGTCAGGCTACCGTGCCATGCATGATTGGCCCTTCTTTTCCATTCCCATGGTTTTACTAAGCCCCGCCCTTTTGACCATTTAAGGCAGCCTGTGTCACTCTCCTCATCATGTATATTCTGCTCCAGCCCTTCTGATTGGTCACACCAAGTCCCCGCCTTCGGACTGTTGCAGTCCCTCCACACACTACTCATTCACAATCTGACCAAATAACCCGGCTCCAATTGGCCAGTCCAAGTTCCGCCCCCCTGACCTTTTAAGGTGATCTGTGTGACTGGCTGCATTTTCAATGCAAGCAGGCTGAGCGGTGCTAACTCTATTAGCCTGCTGTCTGTGATGGGCCACACAGTGAATGCAGTGTACGTCACTGGGGACTGCATTGACATCAGTGAAGGGGATTTTCATGTGCAACACAGAGCTACGTTAGGGATTGGCCGTCGCCGGGCCGAGTGGATTCTCGAAGCTACAGTTGCTGTGCAGCCGGATCCGTACGCCGCCTACGTGCCGGCCCGTGTAAAAGCCTCAACGGGATGACGTAAACACATGTGAGTCAATCTGTCAATGTGTAACGTCGTGATGATCGAAACATCGTTACATTGCACAACAATTTTTGTTTACAGCTGAATCCTCATGCCACAACATCTTGTGTCTTCAATGAATCTTGGAGTATTGACAAACAGATTTCATCTCTTCCGGTTTCAAAGCCGATTAGGAATTTTCTTGGTACTCCAAAGACAGAGGGAACTTTGCCCGCAAGAATTTTTAACCTGCCAGAAACTTATCCAAGTGCAGTGCTGAATTTGACGCAGGTGTCAGAAATCGAAAAGGGACGCTTGAAAAGGACGGGTTTAATTACAGATACCCAGTTTGAAGGTCGGTGTCAGTTTCATCATTGTGTGTCTTAGTGCTTGGATGCCCGACGAAGTGAGAAACAAAAAAGTGGCACGGAACTCTCAACCAGATTTGGATTCAAGATATTTCATCAGTGCTACGCACAATGCGGTAAATCTTCCTTGTCAGGTATGTACATGTACGTACATGTATCTGTAAGCGCTGTGCAGCGTGTCCACTCCTCCATGTCAGCTCACAATTCATACATGTTTACACAGTTTTTGTAATGATGTGAATAGGTGATTTGATACACGAGCAGAAAATCTCAGAGGATTCAAAGAATCAGTAATACAGCGTACATATAAGCACGGATGGAGAATGATTGGATTTAAAGGAGGCATGTAGCTTCTAATCATAGGGTCAGGGGTTCGAATCCAGCTGGTGGCAGCATGTTGTGATCTTGGGCAAGTCAATTTACCCCCATGTGCCTCTCTCCACCCAGAGGTAAATGGATACCTGTGAGAGCAGAAACGGTAATGTTTGGCCTTTTGTGCCGAAATGGCAGCATTGGGCTAGTATACTTCCCACAGAGATGGGAGATGGTTTCAGGAATGTCCAGATGATGTGTGTGCCCAATGTGCAGGGATAATGATAATACAGCGCCTTGGAATAGTTTGCTAGATAGATGGCGCTTTACAAATGCTTATTATTATTGTTATTATTAAAGTAAAGAGAACTGAATTATGACAAGTGCCAATCCGTTTTCCTGTTCACTGTGCGTCAACGTGCTTCTGTGAATGTATACATGTACAAATATTAGAAGGGTACAAAAAGATGGTTGAACTCCAATTTCTAGAAACTTACTGTTTCTTTGACGTGTCTTTGACGTTGATTGCTTTTGTCAGGTCCTGAGATCTATAGAGCGTTGCAGCTCAGAGAAGGGGCTGTTTGGATTCTGACATGAGTAACACATGAGCTTTGAGCTAACGACAGTGTATTGATTGCTTGTTTAAAGGAGGAGTCTTGTCTGATTTCTCATGGCTTTGGAAAAGTACATGTACATGTGTGTACCTGGAAAAACCATGAAAAAAATTTCAATGATGTCTGGAAAAATTTTGCGACAGCATAAAGCTCTTGGAATTTTGCGAGGACCAGTTTATCTCAACTGGTTTATTGATAAAAGCAAAGAAGTATGAACTACGATGCCTATGATATGTAGGCCTGCAATGTGTCACGTGCCAAGGAATTTCTTGCTATGTTATGTTGTTTTTTTCTGATGCATTTTTTATTTTTGTGTAAGCTGTAAAGTTTTGTAGTCGGCTGTGATAAAGTACATGTACATGTAGGTCACAAAATTTACAGTAGGTCTGAATTTCGGCCATGGAAAATTCATGGATGTTTGTTTTCCTAAAGTTACAGGAACCCTGATTTGAAATGTTGAACTATTTTGGAAGGTACCAAATACATAGTAGGGTATCCGCCCTGAGCAGGAACAAAAGAGGGCTTATTTTGAAATGAAATTGACAGTCATTTGGTATGCACTCACCACACAGGCGCGTAAGTTTATGCACGTTTGACGTGGAGCAGGGTGGGTATGTGCAACGAATTTAGTCTGGAATGTCGGTCTTCGCGTGCACGCCTTAGTACCATCTATCTTTCTTTTTGCCAGTGAGGGTGCACTTCAGCTCAGGGTGGGTTGGGTTACAAGGAGAGTATTTGTTTTCTGAGCATGCTGAGTTATCGCTTCATCAGGTGCAGTAGGTGTGGCGGTTGTGGATTGGATTCTGAGGATCACAAAATCTGTGCAATTCAAAACCGGCCCAATCGCTTCTGTAATTACTTCTCAATCGGGTCATATACTGTACATCTAGTACCGGTATCTTTTTCCCCAGCGGCAAACCGTGGTGGCCCAATGGATGGAGTGTAATTAGAGCCGACACTGTAATGGTGCTGGAGTGTGCCAGCCCGAATCTGGGCCAGCGGAGCAGAGGAAATGCTCTGAAGGTCTCGTGGCATGTTGTTACGGCTGCACGAGGGCCGTGGTAGAATCTTCTGTGTCCCTTTACATTTACATTGTAGACATGGTTCTCTATCGTCTGTTCAGCTTCAGTGCGTTTGATTACATCCTCCATGCTTACAGGTACGTACCTGTGGTGTCATTATGGACTTAGACAGGTACATGTATGTGTAATGTGTGGTAATTATCCACGAATGATCTCAAGTTACGTTGGGCCCGTTACCTGGACCAGTTCAAGATGTCATCCGTACACGTACACAGTGCGTGTGCGTCGATTAGATGTGCAGAATGAATCTGAATGATTAAAAGCAAGAGACATATCCACACAGACATATCCACACAGACATATCCACACAGACATATCCACACAGACATATCCACACAGACATATCCACACATACATGTACATTCAGGCATGCAACTCAGACTTTGACAAAAAACGAGGAAATTCCAATCTTTACAAGACTTTGTTCAGTGTTTTTCAATGTTCCGTGGCATGAGTATGAGGAATTAGCTGATCTGAGGAAAACTCGCATGCCTGAGACATTTCTTAATTGCATTTCTTTCACAGTAATTTTATTTGACGTGAGTCAATTTTGCCACTACCTTCAAGGCCTCTCTGAATTTTGTACCAGTATACACGTACATATACTGTAGTTGTTCCGACTTTGCCTTGAATGAATGCCGACCAATTGCATTGCAATTCATGGCCCGAATGTAACACGGCTTGTTGCTCACGCCCACAGAAATTGCATTATGGCCCACTAATGCGCCGAAACAGCATCGAAGCCAAAGATGTTCTACCACAACTCCCTCAGAAAGCATACATGTACATGCTGTGGCAAGGAATCCGCTTTTCGGTTTAGATGCCTGACTGACAATATGCGGGTAATTCTCATAGCTTACCATGGAAAAACTCGTGGGAGATCTCGAAGGAGATGGGAAGCGCGTGCTCATTCATCTCAATTTTAAATCGATACCTATATCCCTCCACAGTGTATGTACGGATTCAATATACCCCCCACCCACGCACTCCGTCTCATGAATAATTGATGGTCTTGCTGCTGGAATATTCCGTGGTTGAGGGACGATGAACATTTCATGGTACATGTAGAAAAACAATAGTGTCTATATGTACGTGTACGTGTATATGTCTCAAGAACATTCGGTACATGTACATTTGTAAGACACAACACACACATGTACATGTGTACCGGTACATACATGTATACATTATAACAAACTTCCACATTGTTACATATACATGTTGGCGTACATACAGATACATGTAGGTGCTGAAGTGTGTTCCAATCCATTGTTGAATACATGTACATGTACATTGGTTTGAAAGATGTTTGTGCCGTATCCTACAAGTATGTACTATACATGTACCGGGTACATGTACATAGCGCCTTACTGTATGTCTCTACATGTACATGTAGGTACAGTGGTTATGAGTAGATTTCCACAGATACATGTACATGTACTGTGGCTGTTGATGAGTTCAACATGTTCAAGGGTGAAATTTCCCAGCTTTTTAGCTGATTCCAGCTTTTTTTTGTTTTAGATTTCATCTTTTTTTCCTCACTGGCTGTGTACAAAAGTAGAGGAGATTTTCACAGTTCGGCTTCTTGATGCCTTTTTTTCAGCTGCATTCAGCTATTTTTATCATTGGTCAATCTCACCCCTGTGAGTTAGAAACAGGATGTCACCGTAAGATGCTGTCCATACGCTATTCACAGGCACTGTCATGTACAGGGTGTACTTGCACAACGTACTTCTTGATCTTTTCGATCTAAGTTATGGCAAACACTGAAGTTACCGGCATCATTCTTCCTCAAACTTACACTTTCCCAAGGTTCAATGTGATGACAGCTTTGCATTCCTTAACTGCCTGCGTGGTGACATTAAAATCCAGCTCAGCCTGAGGATGTGCCCCTCAGAACCGACTTGGAATTTTTCCCCGTGACGTGCCTGACCGGCCACAGGGACAGACTTGATTGGAGGGTCATCACAGCGACGTGACATGAATGCACAAAGAGTAACTAAAGGCAGGTTATAATTGCACTGAAAGAGGGCTGAAATTAGTGGGTCATTATGTTGCATGGGTAGTGACGGCAGGGGTAGTGACGTATGCCCAAACAGCTCAGCTCACTTTTTTTTTAATGCACTGCTCACGTGTGTTTTGAAGCACTGCTGAAGTGTCCCCTTAACATGCATGCACCGGTACAATGTATGTATGTATGGACTGCCCGTATATATAGCAAGCACTTGTGATGGCATAGACTGTATTCATGTGTCAGCCATTTTGAATTGAAAGCTTTCATTTTGGGAACTCGAGAGTAACAATAGCAGCAACAATGAAGGTACATATACAGATTCATCATGCCAGTTTATGTTTAGAATAATTTCAAGTTTTGTCACAAGTAAAAGTTTTTGGCCAATTTAAAAAACCCTGAAAGTTACATGTAAATGTAGGCTTGGAACCCAGTGTAGTCTGGCACCATCCCACGTACAGTGTACGTAATAATATGATAGATTCAGAGAACAAGATCAAACATGGCATCCCCATGAATAAAGTGAAATACTCTGTTTCATCTCATTCTTAACTTATTTGGCCTTTTGAGAACATAGTAATACAAAACTACTGTAAACTGCTTGCTGGCTACAGTGACCTAGAAGAATCTTTCCCAAAGAGATTCTACGAGGATTTAAACTCCAGGCCCTCCTTAGTTTGTGATTTAGCATTTGTTTCCAAGCTAGGGTTGAATGAATAGACTCATGGGTCACGATACTTCTCACTTTTGTACTCATCCTGGCCACCTTAGCTCCTCCCCCTCCCATAATCCTGCCCAACACAAGTCCAGTCACAAGTCCTTTCACAAGTCCAGTCACAAGTCCTTTCCCAAGGCCAGTCACAAGTCCAGTCAGAAGACCCTTCACAAGGCTAGTCATAAGTACATGTATCAGGGTGAACAGTGACAAAGTGAATTGGCTTGAGACTGAATGACAGGTGATGGACTTCTGATGTACATGTACTTACAGGGACTTGTGCTGGACTCGAATACAAGACTGACATTAATTGTACCTGCACATTTAGTCACTTTGAATAATTTTCGTGTATTCATATGTAAGTAAATTTCCCATTATGATTAACAAAAATAACAACAATGTTCTATTGTTTAGGATATCCTTCACAGATACATTGTGAATTTCAAATTCTGAAACACATGATCAGGATTCGTATATAAAAGGCCACACAGAACCTATGCAGTAAATATGGCTGATGCACATCGTGGATTTAACCTACCCCCAACGTTGGTACATTTATCATCGGGCCATGTCCTCAGTTTCCCTCCTAAATGCTTGGCCCGGCACGACACGTTCCACAATCCGATCGTGAATTGCCCCAGGGTGGGTTTAATTCATAAACAGCCGTACGTGCCAGAGCGCGGGCGCGTTGGGACCTTCGAAATTTGAGGGTGAAGGTAAGAACCTTAAGTTTTATGGAGGGCTGCGGGCATCTTTGAGGAGACTCTGCCTTCTGGATAAATACGACCGGTGGTGGTTCCGAGGGAGGGGGGGGGTCGTTTGATAGAGTCTCCAACGTGCCAGGAGGGTTTCGTTTCATCCCAGACTGGTTTACCTGCATCCCGGCCGGATCATTCCGGCTCGCACATTTTTGGGAATGAAGTAGGGATGCTCATTTAAATTGTAAATGCCTGGTGTTGAGTTACAGGACTGATAGCCTGTATTAGAGCTTCTCTGGACTCTCCAATGTGGGTCACTGGATTAACCTGGTTAATTGGGCGTGCCTTGTCCAGGGGAAAAAAAATTACATGTTCACCTGTACACGAACAGTACAGCAAATCAGTCTTGGTGATTTTCCCTTGCAGATGAACCAGCAAAGGCTGTTCCATAAAGTTGAGTCCATGTACTGTACATGGAGTACCATACATGTACATGTGTACTTACATGTAACACCGATGTACATTATGTGCACGTATTCAAGAATCTAAAGAAAGTTTGGGGGGGCCTTGTTAAAATACACCTGTTCATACATATTCTGTATGTAATTTCATTTCTTCTTCAAATGTTCTTCCATTGAATTCTTTACTTTCGCCTGAAACACTTCTAAACTTTCAGGAAAAAGAATTGGAAGTTTTCCTTCATGGCAGTCCTCACAAAAATCTATACATGTTAATCTACAGGACAAACACCACAAAATATTTCAAAATCAAAAGCCAAAAAAAACAAAACAAAATGGAAACAGACTCCAAGGAGCTCTATCAGAAACCTTGGAGAAGGTGTTTTAGGATTGATTAGTCAATGCTTGTTTCCAAAATTAAATAATAGGTAACAATATTGGTATCCTTACGGTGAGCTAAAGATGAAATGCTTGATAGTATGAAGTCATACTGAATGTAATCAGTCAAATTTGATTATGTGGATTAGATTTGGCAGATTGTTAATCGACTTAAATGATTGAAATCACATTGAACATACCTGTACAGTAGGTGTATGGGTGTATATGCGGTGTGGTAGTAAAAGCACATTGGATGTGTGAGTGGACGTGACGACATGTACGTGTAGTTGCTCTTTTCAAAGCCTGCATCATGGTTCCCACTTGAGTCCAAGTACATGTACATGTATGCAGTGTTCATTAAGGCATTTAAAGTGATTTTTCGGTGACGCAGTTCAGCACACCTTACATGTACTGTACTGTACATGTGCTGACACCAACATCAGGCTCCATGCAGATGTACATGTATGTTGTGCTGTTTCAGCAAAGTCAGATTGCAGTGGACTGCTGGACTGCATCTAGTAAATTTGACGTCAATTTGGGACAACTTTTGATATCCTGTGGTGACTTTGTTGGGTAGTGTTATCTTTCTTTATACATATATGTACATGTATTTGGAATAAAACGGTACTGCAGTGGGGTGGTAAAAACTGGTACCCTAATTCAACGGGCGAGTGGTGATGGGTCCCACCAGGTGGGATGAGCTTTTTCTAATTCAGTGCCCATTCAGTTTATCTGCAAGATCACCTCCCCCAACTTTGGTTGCTGTGATTGTACGTGCCAGAAGAGCTAACTTATAAAAATCCAGTTCACAAGAATGGATTCGTGGCACATAGAGTCATGTTGTAGTTGTGTGCATAGCGTGTACATTTTAAAGAATCAAGGATGTTAAAGAAATCCCAGTGAGGATTCACATATCCCCTTTTGCCATCAATACACTCGTTGCTGTCAATGCAGTCCGGTCTCAAATTTCTGAAAGGAAAATGTCAAGACAGAACAACCAAGAGCCGGCCAAAAAACTCACCCACGCACATCTTTGAGATCCTCATCTTTGTCATTGAGCATTCAGGAATATGGCAGCAATCTCGCTGCTATTTTTCAAACGTCTTTAATGTTGCAGATGTCTTTAATATCACTTTGCCTCTGCAAGTGCCTCCCTTTGAATGATTACAAATCTCTTTGTAGTGCACACTTGGATGTACGCGTGCAAGACTTGGATTTCGCTGTCTACATTAGCAGCTTTCATTGAAAATATAGTCCTGGCTGCCCATTCAGTGCCAAACAGCACAAAATGAATGGTATCGACAACCAAGCAAATGAATATGTGCCTTGTAGTGCTTTTATTTTTTGTGGGCAGTGTTTTGCAAAGTACAGGTTACATGCACATGTACCGTATATGAGACTTTGTTGTTAAATAAGCATATTTATACTGCACTGTTTGAACTTGTGCCGGTACGTGTAGGGCGCACATTACTCGTGCAAGTGCATGCGTGCAATATAAACAGGTAAATGTCACCACCTCCGCTGATGATGTCCCTTGAAGGCATTCCAGTGGGTTTTGTAAAGTCCAGGCATGACATGGTGCAGGGTCCGAAGGCAAATTTTGATATGTTTGTTGCTGATCGCGCACTCAGACGGTGATGTGCATACATGTAAATCATTGCTAGCCAGGTGTGGGCACTCATGTAAACACCCTTGGTTTTAGTCAGGGTTCCATCATGACGTTTTCTGAGAAAACCGCTTTTACGTAGAAGGTACCGGTTCTTTGTACAATGTACATGCATACCTTATTATTACATGTATTTACATTTGTACAGCAGCTGTATCTCTAGTTGAGGCCCATGTCAGCAGTGAAGTCTCCGTTTTGTCCGAGTCCGATCCCAAAGCTTTTGCTTCCCTCTGGGCAGACTTGGAACTGACGTCAGGAGTCAACTTTTGTTGTTGTGTTTTTCAGGCTGACACCTTATCCAGACAAGACAAAGCAGCCATCTGCATCCAGTCACATTACAGAGGATACCTGGCTCGCAAGAAGTATGTGGAACTACTCTTTGAACAGTTCAACAAGGTATGGTGCTGTCCCATCTTGAACTTTGCACATTTTATTCTGAGTCTCTTAGGATACCGGGTAGTTAGAAAAAGAACTCTCCAGGCGGATGAGATTTAAGGACAGAGAGCAAATAATAAACACTTCGGAAAGGGTTATTCGAAATTTCAGTTAATAGTCAAAAGTTTGAAATGATACGTACATGTATCAGCAACAAATTTCTTGTTACACAACAATGTTGGAGCTTGCCTGATAAACCAATCGTCCTTTACCTATTTAACTTTCAACTCTCCCAATACACGCACGTGTACCACAATATGTGACCTTATTGAATTTTTTTACAGTGAACAAATTGACTCATGGATAATGCATTTTTGATTTAATAAAAGCCTTTGGTTTTGAGAACAGTTTCTGGTGATTGTGCACTGTTTTTGGAGTGGGGAAAGATTGTGGTGCTTTATTGGTATTGTATGGTTAGTTTTAGTTCGCTGTGACGTGAATTTAGATGGATGTGTTTGTCTTGTTAGGTGTTGCTTGTCTGCACTGCATGTTGTTAATGACCATTAGTGATGGACAGCTCTGTACATTTACATGTACATGTACGTAGCCCTGCTTTACACTGGTATTTAAATCTGACCTGCATTTATAAATGTTAATCTGATTCCAATCACCCTTCTGTCTTCCTGAAGAAAGTCAAGCTGCCAAAACTAATAAATATTCAGAGAGTCTCTTCAGCGGGAAACCCTCTGAAGATTTGCTCATCGCGTGGGTCGCACGCATTCCTGATTGTGCCGACTGCTCCATTTCCGTAGGGTCAGTCACATACGCCATGTGCCTGTGGTCCCAGGCGTCCATCCGCTGTGCTGTCTGCTTTTGCAATAGTTACATGTATGCCGTGTCTTGCGGTGTTGTGGCTAATTAGAGCAGCTGAGAACGTTAAAAGATGCAGGGATGATATCCTCTTGAAATCATGGGAAATTAGTCTAACTTCTGTAAATGTGCAATGTACATGTACAAGTTAATGTACGCAATACCGTATATGTACAGTACATGCAAGATACATACAGTGTATGTACCGGTACGTTATTTGACATGTACATGGACATGTGCATACATGTACATGGACATGTGCATACATGGACATGGACATGTGCATATACATGTACATACTTATTGGTATATAATAATTACATGCACATGTACAATACATGTATTGCATGTGCATGCACTATGTATAGAAAGAGATGGCACTTTTCTACCGGTATTAATTCACTCTGCTAATTCCATTGTTTTCGTTTGTTGAGTTGGGATATTGCTGTTTTCTAGAATCCTTGTTCCTCCCAATTTAGATCATACTATTTTTTGATCAAAAGATGCCTGATTTTTATCAGGAACATTTGGGGCGGATGGCTTTTTTTCCCTTTCTAATGCATCTTTAAAAGAAGATCAAAATTGTTTACTAAACCTTGCCCTAGTTTTGTTAATCCTGCTGACAGAAATGAAAATGTCTCTCACACCTGCAAGGGACTGCATCGGACGAGGTGTACACACTCTGGCAGAGGGACACGCACGTCCCCACATACAATGTCACGTTCTGGGAAGTCGCACCTCCCATGTTCACACCATACGACCTTGTGATATTTGATCTCTCCCAACTTCTCTCCCACGTCTGACGGGGGAAGGGAAGGGGGGGATGTGAAGGACGTGGCATCGGCCTCCGAGTGTACCGGTACATGCACGTGGGAATAATAACGGTCTGCGATCACTGAGCATTAAAGTCCTGAATATTTACGGTATTTGGTTTGATTGGATGGGGGGGGGCATGTACTAGTACATGTAGAGTACTGATTATGCCTGGCCTCGTGTTCACGTAGCTTGACCATGGTCGTGCATTAAGTGCTTGCTGTTTGACGAACCTGGGCAACACAACAGATTCTGAGGTTTGCCCGGCGTACTTGTTCCTGTTAAAATGTTCTCTGAAAATACCACTAAAAAGGGGGTCATGTTAATGACTTTAAAACCCGTATGCCCCTAAGGATGTGTCCAAAACAGTACGAAATTGGAGAATTCTAGGACTGTCAGGTGAAGTCATCGATCGGTATGTTTGCCCAATACCGATGTTCAATTTCATTCAGTTCAGTGAGTGAATTTAGAAGCTGTTTTGATAGGTCGAATCGTGAAAGATGAAATTATTATTCCCCATGTCTTGGCCCCTGTAGTTAGCCATTTGTCTAACAGTGTGAATCATCTTACATACGGTGTACATGTAATTGTTGGCAGTTGCAGCGCTTGCCGCTTAGAAATCTAGTCCATCAATGATACCTGCACGTACTCAATAAGGGTCACAGAAATCTTCAAGCTAATACCCTTAGGAAGGGGGGGGTGATTGAATCTCGACCTAATTTCTGATTTGTCTACTTCCAGTTAGTGATAAATTGCCTTTTCCAGTATTTAATATCAACACGACCTCGATCACGGTGTGGCTCAGTCACTGCAGTGCCCGGCGCGATGCAGCGGCGAGCAGAAGATACAGTGCCACCATAAAAAAAGAAGTTGGGAAAAAAAACTCAATCTTGTGAACTAGATCACAGGCTGTGGAAAATGTGAAATATGCACCAACATTCACAGGTTGGGGGGAAAATCAATATACGTGTCTCGATAATGACTGGCCAAGATGGATAGCATCCATCCAAATTCCTGCAGCTGGGCCAAGAATTATTTTTACTGATCCATGCAGGGTTTTTTTTTTCCCACAGCAATTGGAGATATTGCTGTTGCTTAAAACCTGTGCACGTGCATGGTCATAATACTACATGTATATATCTTGTATAAGTTTTTTATACTATGTCAACAAGTTTAACCTTTGACCCAACCCTAATCTTTGACAGGAAGATGAACGGCGGGCAGCAAGAACTAGGAGACAGGTAGAAGAAGGGGAGCTGCTCATCGAAAAGTAAGAAGACACTTAGCTTTAAAACAATTTAAGCTTACGGTAACGTTAAGAGCAGAGGTACCGGTACATGAGTGCTTAGAAACTTTTTTGCCTCTAAAAATCACCTCTGGTAAACTTAAAGTTAAACAATACGGCTGGTTTTTCTGTCATTTTGCTTTTTTCCCCTCCTTTTCTAAAACTATGCATTTTGTTGGTCATGCCACCCCACTCTTCGAAGTCACTTCAGCTTTTTTTAGCATTTCTCAAACCGTACACATTGTACTGTGTGTCAGCACATTGTAACGAGGCACGAAGCATCCGCAGATGTAGACGGATGCATTTGCACAGGGTTTTTTAATCTCATATGTCAGCATCAGCACAAGGCGAGATCTCAAGGCATGGTCTTAATCATCTTCAAGTGTCTGAACAATCCTATCGGTGGGGGGAGGTCTGTGAGAGATGGTACTAGAAGTCTGGGGAAATCAACTTGGCTTGTTGAAAGAATCAGTGTTGCCCGTTCAGGAGGAAACTGATTGAAGTTTCTTTTAGGCCGGGCCAGCGGACAGTGACCCAGACAGCAGCGTTGCACAGAATGTCTTTGGATGTTTCAATGAGTGTCTCGTTGCACCTTCCTTGGTGCTAACTCTTCCCGGCTTTGGGAGAATTAACTTGAGTTAAGCGATAAAAACCCCTGCAGGCTCTGATGACTATCATTTTTTAAGGTTTGATGTTAAGCGACCACCTAGGAATTGCTGCCAGCAAGATTTAAAAAGTTTAAAGTAAAAATCTCGTTTTGGTTTGATGATGGTAAAACAAGATTGTGATCTCGGACGTCGTGGTACCGGTAAATTGATTTTTTAATGCGGCCGTCATCAGCCAAATGACAAGTCCAGTTACTAGCCTCAGAAAAAATGGCAAACGATGACAAAGGAATGCTTTCTTCCCAGCTCTTTTTCAATAGCTTTTGACTCAGCTTAACCCTGAAAAACTTGGGGGATGGTCCCTCAAAACTTTCTCCAAGTTTGTCGCAGTGCATGTTTCTACTATGCGCTGAGCCTCAAAGGGTTTTTTAGTGACATCTTGTGGTCATTTTGACAATTTACACATGCAGTGAAAATAGGACATCATCTTCCTGAGAAAGTTCAACCAGCAATCCAGATTTTTTCCATTGTGTGCTTTATGCGCATGGACAGACACGTTTGAGGTCGAGAATTTCAAATGACCACAACACCAAAGCCCTAGAGCTTTGTCATAAAACTAAAAGTTCACGTTTGTACTCACAATGAGTGCCTTTAAGTGCATGTTAAAGTTTCAAAGTGATCCGGGCTGTTATAGCGGAGTGCTTGGGGGTGTCTGGCCCCCCTCCCAAGCTGTAAGATGTACATGTAGTCCAAAACAGCCCTGCTCTTTGAGGGTTAAAGGTGGACTTGCTGGTGGATTTGCTGGAATGTTTACCAAGACTTGCTGGCTCAGGATTCAAGTTTGCTTGTTCAGGTGTAAAACATCCTTAACAAAACTTGCTAAAAAGTCCCTTCCTGAGAAAGTGAGTCTTGTCACATGTGAAGAGAGTATTTTCAAGCCACGTAAATATTCACAGCTGTTGCTAAGCATATTTTGTTACCATCCTAGACAAGGTTTTGTTGTTTCCCAGACTACACTGTCATCAGTGTCCAATCATGCCACACCTGTCTGGCCTGCATGGTTGGTACCTAGTGCGCTCACCTGTGCAGACTTTTTTTTTTTCATTTTTATACACCAATGATGCCAGCCGCTTTTGTTTCTGGTCGGCTAATCAAATTCTCCCCACAAATTCAATACTGTGGCAGCCTTGGCGTGCCATTAGGCCGACCTGAGCTGGTACTTCTGACGGGAAGCCCTGCCTTTAAAATCTAATTGGAATGTTTGCCGAGTATAAGTCGGGAAGGAAAGGGACGAGAAAGAGATCGGGCGGGCATTGTGTTGGATTTTCAAATACATGTAGGTCGACGATGAAAGGAAAGGATGAACTACTCGGCGTTGAATGCATATATCTCTTCAGTCAAAGCAAGCAAGGAAGTGCGTCAGTTGACTGGGAGACTTCCAGCTTGCATGGACGACTGCTTCCGTATTGAAAAATGAACCGAGGAAAAGGAGGGAAAAAAAAAGATATTCACCTTCAAGACAAAACTGTGGCATGCGCACGACGCTGTGTGGAATCAATGACAAGACATGCCCCCGTGGTTGATTTTTTGCTGCCGGAACGTGCCTCCTGTACCTTTCTTGGAAGTATGGCCTCCTCCCTGCCTCCTCCCCCCCCCGTCATTTCACAGTCGCTCACCTTGCCCCCCCCCTCCCACTTCACTCAGCTCAATTAGACCTGCCAACCTACGGGCCAAGAAGGTGCTTGAAAGTCTCGCTTCGAGCGAGCTGTATGTTTATTCATCTAGCGCCGAAGCATACACGAGCTTCTACCACATTTCAGTATGATTGCTAATTGCTGGAATTAGAGCGTACACCTCCGGTATAGTGGCCGTTTTATAGGTTTTTGGCACACCGACTGAAGTGTGCAAATTTTCTTAAAATCTTAATCATACAGGGACTGCTTGTAATGAGCTTTATTGCCAGCGCTGTGAGTGAGTGGTTCCAAGTACTCTACATGTACATGTTGTTTAACATATGCATGTAGGCCACGTTGTCATTCTACATTGCTTGTGGTTTTTTAGGCGTGCATCCAATTTCCATCAATTTGTAAGCAGTACAGGTGCTGTAAGGTGCCAAACATGTATACGAATGCACTTACAAACTGCTGGTACAGTGCATTTTCCTGTACATGTATACCGTACATTCAACATGTACAAGAAACAGTTTTTTATAAGTAATGACTTGTATTGGCTTTAAAATCAATTGGCCATGGGCATTAATTGTGGGGGGGGAATGCCTTAATAACCCCTCCAGCCTACCCCCACCCCACATACATGTAAATTTAAGAAAAAAAGTTAAAAGGAAGGAAAGAAAAATTAAAAGTATAGAAAGACAGAAAAGAGGACAATTACCAGTTTCCATGAAAATGACCATGATTCCCCCCAACTGAGTAACCTGTGGTCTGTCAGTCTGCCGCTGTTGAGTGCTTTGCCCTATTGGAAAGAGCTTTTATGGCCGTGTTTTCAATTTGTCATATTGTTCACAAGTGGGTGCATGATCAGTAATGTGCCATGTGTATGTACCTGTACAGTACATGTACATTTGTAGGTGTACCAGTTTTCATGAAGCCAGTTTTTCCATCAAATGGGCTACAAGAAGTATCATTTTTTTCCCCTTCGTTAGGAATTTGAGTGATGATTTACCAGTATGATGTCACGATACTCAAAATACATGTACATGTACGTACAGTGTAAGTGCTGCACTTCCATGTATACTGCCAAAGATGTCTGAGTGACGAATGGCTGGCTGTACATAGCCAATTCAATCAATGCTCGGAGAAACTTATTAGAATCGAAAAGAACGATGATCTCATCTGTCATCGAGGGTCTGCTGGAGTGCAGGGATGGGTAGGGCATTGAAGATGAACCTGGCCAGTCGTTTAATTACGTCTACATGTTCATATGGGTACGTGAACACGCAACCCCAAATTGATAAATCCAAAAGCGAATGTTTTCCCCCAGCATTGTACATATAGGTGATTCCATAAATATGGCCCCAATGTGTGACACTTTTGGTGTCCCCCTTACACATGAAACAAATTTTGAAGATCGGTTGACATTACAACAGAAAGACACTTGGAACAAGGAAAGTGGTAAAAATGACAAGCTTGTATGCTGCCTAATATACTGTTAAATGGACGAAATATTTCATTTAGTTATTACAGTATAAAGTGCCAACAAACTGATTGGTTTCATGCGCGAGGAGGACACAAAAATGTCACAAGTTGGGTCCCAAATTTATAGAATTACCCATGTACATCATTTCATCTGGTACAGCTGCGTGAAAACACTGCGTCCATAACAGTGAAATGTTCTCTCTCAACCGGAATTTTACATGTACATGTACCACACGGTCATGTTCAAACTGGAAAAGTTTCTGTTTCGTGGTTTCCTTGGAAACTAAATGTATGGACTTGAAAAGTCTGTTACACATGTACATGTACACTGTATGCTTGCACATAGTGTACGTTGTACGTGCATTGTACATGGACATCATGCAAACATGACAAATTTGCTTTTGATTTTACACAGAAACACACCGTTGTACGGTATGTTTGACTGTTTCTGAGTTCCTGTGCTACATTCATAATGTTCATTGTACATGTACATGAAAAGTTTCTATCGGTACATTGTACACGTCCATATTAAATTCCTGTCAAAGCAGCTTTAGCAAAGCAAATCTGCTCCTTGTTGCATCACAACAACATCAGCACAAGACTCTCTTGTACTCTGCATTCCTCCCTCCGCAAAGTAAAACTACCGGTAGATGAGGCCTGTGGGCATGGTGGGTGCGGGGGGATGGTTGGCGGATGTTTGAAAAGGAACAGTGGGCAGCTGGGATTCTCTGAATCCGTGCCAGTGTTGGGGTCATTCATCATTGGAAAACATTTGACAGGCTGTGACATTTAACTCACTAATCCTTGGAATGGAGTGCATTGGCTGTTGGCATGCAGGAGGATGAACTATGTGGGGACCTATTTTACATCAGACGACAAAAATAAATCACCGATCCAGCTGGAATGGTTCATTCAGTATCATCAATTACAATTTTTTTTGAGTGACTAAGGAGAAAAATTGTGACCAACCTTTTTCTTAATGAAGCTATTTTTTTTCTTCTCTGGTTTTTATGGAGCAGTTTGACTGGTTTGTTTTAACCTTTTGCATTTTCTCAGTCAAGATATGATGCCAAATTGTCATTATGACGAATCATCCACCACTTGGCATATATACATAGGAACATGAACACGTATTTGGCCAAGTGTGGGTATGTGGGTAATTCTATAAATTAGAGGTCCAACTCGGGGACATTTTGGTGTTCTGTTACGGGTGCAACCATTCAGC